TTCCTTCCTTCCTTCCTTCCTTCCTTCCTTCCTTCCTTCCTTCCTTCCTTCCTTCCTTCTATCATACCTGCACTATGTTTGCATTTCTTCAAACCATCAGGGACACCTTGCTAACTTTTTTTAACCATATTATTAACCATTAAATTAAACCATTAAACCATTTTTTTTAACCATTAAAAATCCCCTTTTAATTCATGCACCTTTGGGCATGTTTGACTATCTTATTCTCTGTGCACTTTTCCTCCTTTCTGGTATGCATTTTTTTTAAAGAGTTGTGGAGCCTATTGCAGGTTCTAGAAAGTCCAGATTTCAGCTTGCAAGTTGTCCATTATCAGCGGTTCCCAAGTTTTGTTTTATTGTCTTAATCCGTTTGTACAGTGTTTGTGTGTGTGTGCGTGTTCCGTCCCCTGATAAATACACTCCTAGAAAGGTTTTGATCTCATTTACCTTCAAGCCAGCCCTGAAAAGCCAACTTGCTTTTAGAAGTAATTGCCAAGCGGTTCTCTCAAAGCTTTATGCAACAAAAATCCATTTCTGGAGGGGTTTGTGCCTTCACCACAATTGACAAGGCAGCAACGAGTGCAAGTGCGGCGATGGAGGCTGTTTTGTTAACAACTCACAACGCCTCTCAGTCTGCCTTCTGCAGCAACTGCCCGTCGCAGTCCGGTCTTAATCGGACACTTCATCCTCCCTGCCTGGAGGACCAGAGGAAGGTCATTGTTCAATCACACCAGCCGCCATTGGCTCAAGTGAAACGCAGGCGGGGAAGTTTGGCAGATGGCGAAACAAAGGCCCTCGGCAAGACCCCGGCGGTGCCAAGAAGCCTCCTCAAGCGAACCTCGCCCAGTTTTAAGCAGAGAATTTGAGCTCTTCCGCCCAATGGGCGGCATTGATCCTTGAGTGGAGAACGGTCCCTTGCAGGAGGAACAGTCGGGTGGCATTTCAACAATTCCTTCAGGAAATATTTTATCGAGCGGGCCACGAACTCTCGAAGACTCTATTAATTCTCGGCCTTAATGGAGCAGATCAAACCAGCTCTCCTTAAGGCGCAGAATGGAGGAGTCTGAAAGCCAGAAGAGCATCTGAGAAGGTTTCCCTTATGGAGAGTGCAAACTTCGTTGTCCAGCTTGAATGTTGAGGTCGTTGTAGCTGTTCTAGAGTCTATGCGGGACTGAATTAAACTGAATGAAATACCCATCTGGATCAGTGGTGAAATTCAAATTTTTTTGACTACCGGTTCTGTGTGTGTGGTTTGATGGGCGTGGCAGGGGAAGGATACTGCAAAATCCCCCTCCCCTCCCCACCCCACCAACCTGCTTTCCAGCTCCGCTCTCCTCTGCAGGGCAACACAAGAAGACCCAGCCGAGATCAGCTGCGGGCGTGGCTTGGTGGGCATGGTGTTCTGTGGGTGTGGCTTGGTGGGCATTGCATGGCTTGGTGGGTGTGGTTTGGTGGGCGTGGCAGGGGAAGGATACTGCAAAATCTCCATTCCCACCCCACCCCAGTAACCTGCTTTCCAGCTCCGCTCTCCTGCGCAGGGCAACCAAAGAAGACCCAGCCGATCAGCTGGGAGGCGGAGAATAGATGGGGTTGGTGGGGCCAGTCAGAGGTGGGATTTGCTGGTTCTCTGAACTACTCAAAATTTTCGCTACCGGTTCTCCAGAAACCTCTGATCTGGCTATACCTTGAACATCAGGAGCAGTGGTAGGATTCTACCGGTTTGGCCCGGTTTGGCTAAACCAGTAGCTCCGAGGATCAGCTGCTGGGCCCTTTCTCCCGCCCAGGGTGACCTTTATTTCCTAGTTTTGAACCTCAGCTGCTTGGCGTGGCACAGCGGATTGCCACACATCAGCCGTTGAAGACACAGGGAGAGTGTAGGATTGCAGGAAGTGAGTAGGACAACACAAAGCATGCCTACCAAGTCATACCCACAGAAACGGTGGTTAAAACATTTGAAACCCACCACTGATCGGGAGGCTTTCCCAGCATTGGCTCACAAAGTTCTTTTTAGCGAGATTTATTGAGATGGATGAATTGGGACTTTGATTTGCCTTCTAACAGCATTTCTTTAGAGAAGCTTCCAGCAGATCTGTGACATACAAGTCTCCTCTTATGGATCTTTATCCATCTGTGAACCAACTTGTCAGCCTTGGAATCCATTTTTTACCCGGAAACTTCAAGGCTGCCACATTCAGTGCCTGGGAATTCTGGGAGGGGGTGGGATTTCATAGTGAGGTAGGAGATTAGACCCAGTAACATTCTTTCTCAGAGAGTCAAGGACATGTTGCCCTGCACCTGGAGGGGAGTGATTGAAGGGATGTCTCCAGTTGGGACAAAGATTTGATTGGGCCACGTGATGGGATGATGGATGCAGGGATGGATCTTTGAATTTCTCTTTTGGGAAGGGAAAACTCGGAACTTTCAGATTCAGGTTTTCCCAGATGTGTCTATAGGACAACTCTAATAAAATGGATCTTTGAGGAACTGATTATCTCAGAGTTTATTGGTTTGGAGTTGGTTAGTTGGAACGCTGACATAACTCTTATTTCATGCTAAGTGAGGTTTTCAAATCCAGCCTTCAGATATGGTATATGGTAGCGTAAAAGACCTAGAAAAGTACCGAGATAAAGTTGATCTTTCCTATCACAATGGAAAAGGGTGGAAAAAGAGATGTTCTGGCTTAAATCAGAGGCATCCTGCTCCTCAGAACAACTAACCTGATGCCAAGTGAGGCTGGAAGATCTCTGTTCTTACGCACCAAAGATATTCAGAAACTTTGGTGGATCAGTTGACACTTCATGAGTCCTGTTCTGCTTTGGACCCTATTGCTTTGCTTAGATCCAGGCCACCAGAATCCAAGAAGGATTCCTTACAAACCAGAAGAGGACCAAAGAAGGATGATGCATTTGAATTCATGATTTTGAAGGCAGGATCTGAAGACGATTAGTCTCAAGAATGAGAGAGGAGAGCAATTTCCATCCCCAAAGAGACACAACATTGAAGACATCCCCAAGCTGTCCTCTATTGTCCTGGAATTTAGGAAGAGTTGGAGTTACAGAAAAGCAGGTTCCCGTTGAATGTTAGGAGAAACATCCTACTAATACGAGTGATTTGTGGAGTTGGTTAAGTCAAGGAAGTAGTGGTTCTCTTCCTTTGGGCACTATAATTTGAATTCCTCTCCCGAGGCAAAGTTGGACCAAGATCTCACTGGCCCTTTTCAGCTCTGCAATCCTGTGCATTTCGACCATTCCCCTTGACTGCTATTTCTAAACCACTTTGAGAATTCCAGCGCATGGAAATATGAAACTCAAACCACACGAAGCAGTAGATTTTTTAGATCACAATTGATTGATGACCTCTTTCAGCCTGGGCTGCAATCACCTTCATTTGCCATGCACGGGGATGGAGAGCTCCCTCTCATTTCTCACCCGTTCTCATGCCGGAGGATCTCGCCTGAGCTCATCAGGAGTGGAAATGCTTGCAAAGTTCTCAGCGAACAAACGCAAGGCCTGTTAGTCCAAAGTTAAGCCCGGCGTGATTCATGTGGCTTGCATTCAGGAAAGTATGACTCGGTGGTGACTTCAATTTCTGGTGCTTGCTTCTCCTGAGGAAGCTCTAGACTTTGACTTGGACCATCATCCCACAGCAGCTGAGGCCTGCAGTGCCAGTCAGCTGTGAGGATAAAGAGAAAAGTGCAGGGGCAGCTAGGAAGACCGATCCTACACATTTCTCTTCTTGAGCCTCTCAGCTGATCATTGGAGGCTTATTTTTACTACCAGGTAGGCTGAACTGGTGCAAACCGGTAGGATGCCACCACTGATCCAGACCTACTGTGAGAGATCCATCCAAGTCAGAATCCTGTAGACCTTAAATCTGATGTCAGTCAAGGTCTCCCCACTTCTTTCCTCTCTTAAAAAAACACCTTTCTCTTCTATTCAGTGTGAACACAAACAACTTGTCTATCCGATGTTTTGTCGTATGGAACAAGCCGCTCAAATAAGAGCCTCAGGTTATATTCTGCCAGAAAATTACTATTTACCACCATAGCTCAAGTCCAGAAGCGCCAAAGTTAGCTGGGACGACTCAGATGAAATATTTTTTTTTTGTTTCTTCTTCCCCTGTTTTTAAAAAGCCCGTGTTTGTACAGGCAGCAAATTGCCCTTCTGCGGTCCAATTTTAATACAGAGCTTTAAAATGTCGGGTGGCAGATAATAAATGAGCTGGCTTTGGGCTGAGTAAATATTTTCCGTATTGGAACTTAATCTGCCCTCTTAATCAGTGGAAGAATTTGGCTTTCTGTTCTTCTGAGTGGCAGAGATTGTGCCCGTTAAAAACAATTCTTGCAAAGAAATCCGTCGTTAAGTTTCAAAGAGGTTGGCTCCAGCCTGATGATTTAGCTCTTCCAAAAATCTGTTCTGGCTCTTGGTTTTATCTAATACTTTTTTTTTTATTATTACACAGTATAATAAGTGACTTCAACATCACTTACTATACTGTAGTTGGGCTGTTAATAAAAAGGCACCACTTCTCAGATGTGCGCGATAGATAATCCTCGACTTACGACCGCATTTTTTTCTGTTGCTAAGCAAGACAGTCGTTCAGTTAATTTTGCCCCATTTTGAGACCTTTCTTGCCACCGTCGTTAAATGAATCATTGCCGTAACACGGTTGTTGAGCGAATTTGGCTTCCTCGTTCACTTTGTGTCAGGATTCCATCAGTTACCCCCCATTTAAATCATGAGTCTTGAACCAAACTTCCAAAACTTAAAGAGGATTGATTGGGAGTTAACACATCTGGCCTGGGTGCAGCCGACTCTGAGACACATCATTCATGGTCACCCTTGACCCTGGTTTTGACTATAACTCGGTTTGCACGGGAAATCCGCCTGAAAAATCCAGTTCTGATAGTCCCAATCTTCCCTTCCAGGAAGAAAGCAGCTCTTCAAGAATTCACATTAGCAGCGTTTCATTTTCCCCGAATAAATTTGGAAGCTTGCGTCTATTTATCGCTACGGCAAAGCCTTCACACCTTCCATCCTTTTCTTTTTGTTGTTGATGTTGTTCTATTACTGCCTTGGTGATTTTTTTTTTTTTTTGGTTTTTCCCCTCTCTGCCGCTTTGCCGCGCTTCGATTTGGAGATGATTAACTTCTTGTTTTCCTGCATTCGTTTTTTGATTGCTTCAGAATCTCCCGGAGAAGAATACAGAACCCCTTCTGATGCTCGTATCAATCCGTTTATCAGAGAACGCAGAATATTTCTGCATGCATTACTGGATTCTAGATTAGATAGCTTTAAAAACACACTCTCTCTCTCTCTCTCTCACAAACACACACACACAGACAGACACAAACACACACATGTGGGGACAGCGGATGGCATTCTGACAACCCTTGCTTTGGAGATTTAAAGCTTGATCTCTGTTGTGTCAGTTGTGGTCAAAACCACAAGTATGAAAAACATTCCATCCAGTGCCGAGACCGAGCCAGGGAACTGTTAGAAGGAAGTCTTCAAAGGAAAGCCAACCTTTTCTCTATGGTCCCAGGGACATTTGTTGCAGCAAACAAGATGTTTGGGTAGCGAGGAGGATCTTCTAAAATTCAGAGAAGGGGCACAACACTGGGATGTGGGTGTGTGTGTGTGCAGAGTCCATGGCTTTGCAAAGCTCAGGGCCTGCGAGGGCTGAGGCGGTGATGAGATTTGGAGAAGCTCCACCATCTACTCAGACCAATGACTTCTTTGGGGGTGGAATGATATTTTTTTTTTTCCTCTCCGTTTTTAAAACCACGTTCAACCTATTTTAAGCCTACATTGCGGCTTCTATGGGTTTCCTCCCTTGAAATGGCAGGGAACCAGAAATCATTGGTGTGCCTCTGAGAAGAGTTCTTGGCTTTGGTCCAAAGGTACTATTTTAAAGAGGGAACTTGACTTTTTATTTTTCCCTTCGAAGACCTTTCACTTCTCATCCAAGAAGCTTCTTCAGCTCTGAATGCATGAGCTGAGGAAGCTTCTGGGACGAGAAGCGAAAGGTCTTCAAAGAAAAAACAAAACACAGCAAAATGAAACAGAAAGTCCAGTCGCCTCTTGAAAAAGCACCTTTGAGACACCCAGGAACCTGGAGGTCTAAGAATCTCCATAGATATTCTTGGCTTTGGGGACAGCAAACAATCTCACAACCCCCAAGTTGTCATCCCTGGCTTGGCAAGATCCCAAAAGGGAAGCGCCGTTGACATTTTGGAGCTGCTTTCTAGCTGCACAGTTGGCTGGAGAAATTGTATAAGCGCGATTAGTGTCTTTGTTAAAACAAGGGTCTTCAAACTTGGCAAGTTTAAGACTTGTGGACCAACTCCCAGAATACCTGAGCTACTATTACTGGAGGAGGAATTCTGGGAGTTGAAGTCTTAGCTGTCAAGTTTGAAGACCACTGTTGTAAAACCTTAAGCACTTATTATATGGTCCGTTGTCTCCCTAACCAGCAACACTGGAGTTATGAATTGTCCTGGGATGTCATGAAAATTCTCGTTGCTGTTGAACATTGTTGCTTGCATTCTCTCAGAGTTAGGTCAGAAGCCAGTCGTATCGCTCGTGGCAGTTTCTTTAATCTCCTAAACAAGGGGCAACCTTGCACGCAAAGCCAGCTGTTTCTTCTCTGTCATTCCCTCTGGGACGAGGTAAACATGGGTTTTAAGTGCCACTGGAAGGTTGACCTTCAAA